CAACAATCTCCATTTTCTACGAGCAGCTTGTTTGTTTTTTCTGAAGGATTTATTGGCGTATGACTGATATTAGCTAAGAAATGAAAGCCTCAATTAGTACTTTTCTAAAGTTTGTCGCTAAAACGGCTAAATGGGTATGAATCTTTATCTCTAGCATGGGCAACAGGAACGATGTGATTTTCTTATTTTTTTTTATTCGCCCTTTCAATTTTATTTGAATGAATAGGTAAACGTGTACCTGAAATACTAGTCGAAATAGAACTTCAACTGTGTTTCGTTTCTTGCTTTTGAACTAGCATTTCCTTCGTTATGTTCGTATTTACTTAACAACTGCACAGCAGCACCTTGCATACAAATATGTTTCTTTACATAAACTTACTCTAGTCGCAACCTTTGCAGAGAACTACCATACCCTGCAAGTACTTTGCAAGCCTGTTTGCTGCATTCGCTCATGAACTTTTGCGTCTTTGTTGAACACAGCTTCGGTCTCTCTCCTGAGTTTGCTCCCCGTTTTCAGGAGTTCTAATTCCTCTCGAGACTATCCCATCTTTGCTCGTTTTTTCTGTACAAGGAGATCATGTCATTGACTCATGTTTGCAGATGTTGCATAAAGACTTGAAAAGGTTGAAGAAGACAATCAAGAACAAAGTTATGCGGAAACCATCCTCGAAACGGAAGTAAGACTCTTTTCTTTCCGCTTTTCTTGATACAGACAAATTCAGTATCACTTATGACAGGAGAAAGAACCGAGGTCATATGTAGTGTAACCTCATTGTCTATCTAGACCGAGATAATAATTTGCAAATGAAAAAATGGCATTGTATATAGTTTTTACGTTTGAAGTCAATATCTATCTTTTTTTAGGGACAAAATGCTCGCTTCTGTAGTCGATCGTGGTAGTAGCTCTACTCAGTCATTCCAGGAAGAAGAGGATCCATACAAAGTAAGCCTGCGGAGGACATCTTTCATTGTTTAAAGAATGTTTTTTCTAGGAAAAGCTTCGAAAATACGATGACAATGTCTCCCATCTCGTTCTACATGGATCTTCACTCAATTCAATGAGCAACAACGACTTCAGAACCGTACAACAAGAGCTAAAAAGGACTTCTTTGGACCTCGACACCGAAGAAAGGCCGGAATCACCAGGGAAAATAGGAA